GGGTGGGTACTCATGTTAGCCCCATTTAGCATCCATATCACCCAATTAAAGGGTTAAATAAAAAGTCAATCAAACTCATTCAATCATTCCCCAATTTATACACTAAAAAACTCTTCTTTGCAGTAAACATTAAAAATCCCCCTATGGAAAAGCTTCAACAGAAACGGTGTTGTTTTCCTTTTAGTTTACATGTGCATTCCCACATTTTCTCACAAACGAGAAACCCCAAACGTTAACAAGAGAAAAGGAAGGAAAATTAAAGCAACAAGGAATTCAACCTGCAATGAATTCTCCTTCAGTAAATTAGACAGTAGCATTCTGCTATCTGAATCTTGCCACACCCTAATTTATATTGGGCCTATTTTATTTTTAAAAAAGGCCCAACTCTCTCAACCCAAAATAAAAGGGCCAAACAACGGCCTAAACTACAATAATATGGTCTTCTTCAGTTCTTCTTCTTCTCGTCTTCTCCCTACAACAGTGACTCGGCGCCCGACGGTATTGAAGACTCCGACGGATCCAACACGGACGGCCGCGCCCCCTCGCTAGGTGTTGGGTCCGCCCCTGGTTAGTAGGTAATATAGACTCAAGTATAGTACCGTTTTGCATGTAGAGCTCCAAAATGTAGGGAAACACATCAGCATAGCACAAGAAGCAAAAAAATTAATAATTGTCTTGATCCACAACCACTCAAATGACAAAAAAGATGTTCCACTAAAAAAATAACTCCTAAAAAATATCTTATATATAATAAATAGTATTGTCTACCTCACATACAAAATGCGTATGCTTTGCTAAACTATTTACTCACTCCATTGTAAGCACAAGGGTATTCAAATCCTTGTTTCAACTTTATAACACTTGAAAGAAAAGTAATGAGATTTCTTAGGCAATTCTCCTGAAATAACAAATAGGTTACAATTAGAGATGGCCAAAAGAATTGAACCAAATTAAAATCGATCAGTTTGATTCATTTCAATTCTAGTTAAATTTTTAAGAGTTCTGGTTCTCAAAACCAAGAAACGAATCTAATCCAACCATTTTTTTAATTACTTATGTTTACTTGTTCAATTGGTGAATGATTTTAATTAGATATTTTAAGAAGGGAAGGGTTCAAAACTCAGGTGTTTGGAATGAAGCAAATCAATATTCAGGTATTCAGGTTTTAAGTTTCAAAATTCATAAATCAGGTATTA